AGCGCTTTGTCTGGGTCCAAGTCGTTTGGAGGTTCCCCCTTGGCGTCGAATAAGTCAGGGATTGGGGTTTCTTCTCTTTGAGCCGGAAGTTGGATTCCGGGAAATTCGTCTTCGATGAGCAAACTGTCAAAATCGATGCCCGAAAACCATTCATGTTTCTTTATGACGTCGCAGCCTCCAAGGCCTGAGCCCAGTCTCTGTGCGGGATCTTTGTTGAGTAATTTAGTCAACAAATCTTTTGCCGCGTCACTGAACCTATCCAAACCCTCGGGCTCATTTTCTGCAGTAAATTTTGCTACATCGTCGAGGCTTGTGCCGACGGGATGGAAAGGACTCACGCCCTTGGCTGTCATGAGTTCAAACATCGTAATTCCGAACGCCCACCAGTCGACTGCACAAGTGTATGGTTTCTTCGCGTACACTTCCGGTGCAATATATCTATGACTACCGGCTATGTTTTTGGTTTGTTGACTGCGGGCATAGCAAGTCCGAAATCGCCTATTTTCAGAAGGCCTCTTTCGTAGACTAGGATATTCGCAGGTTTCAAGTCTCGGAAAATAACATTGCTCGCGTGAATAAATTGGAGACCCATCACAACTTGACAGAGTAGCAGTTTGACTCTTTCTTCCGTGTGAGGGATTCGCTCGATCCGGTAGAGATCACCGTATGGCGCGTAATCCATTATGAGGTAACAATAATCGCGAGTTTTCCAAGTCCAAAAGAGTTCCACGATGAAGATACTCTTGCTGAGCGCGTACAGAATTTTCTTCTCCCTGATGAACAGCGTATGATTTCCTTCTTTCCGCTGTCGTTTGATTGCATAGAGTTCGCCATCCATTTCGGCTTTGAACACCACCCCGAAACCGCCGCTTTCGACCGCATTCTGGATTACGAACTTTGCGAGGTCTTTCTTCCCGCACTCATTCTTTGCGTATCGATCCGAAAAGACTGCTTCTGCCGATTCGAGGGCTTTCTTATGATCTTCGATGACCTTGGCTCGCCCCGCCCGTGTGAAGATCACCATCGTTTTCTTATCCAAATAACATTAAGAAGGATTTCATTCCAGCTAAATGTACCTATGTGATTCGAAGTCAGCAGCTCAGCGGACAAATAGGGAATCCTCGCGGCTTGCGTTCCTTGATTGGATACGAGAGATGATCCAGCGCGCGATTCGGTACTCTCATTTCTTTCACAGCGCCGTCCTCTCCCTCCGTCCAATCGAACTTCAGCGTTGGAATTTGTTTCCTTCGTCAACATGCTCATATCTATGCTAAAGTCTCGTGTAGGGCAAACGTTTCAACAAGTCCCCGCAAGAAGGGCGTGGAGCATGTCGCAAGCTACGGGGGATGGTATCGTTGGATTGTTCCAGAGGAGATCTCTCCAGCCGCCAAGGAAGGGAGCTCCAATGTAAAGCTCGAAACACATGTTTACTCATGTATTCAAAAACTGAGAGTGCTCCCAGACGGAACCTCGGGGCGTCCTGGAAATAGGAAAAACTGCGAAAAATCTTCACCAGCGAGCTCGACTGTCTGGAGGACGCCCTGAAGACGAATTATTGCATCTTCCTCTGTGCCGCTCTCTCTCTCTTCGCGAGCATCCCCTTCATCTTCAGTCCCTTTCCACGGGGAGGCTCCTCGACCGTAGTGATCCGCGAAACAGCTTGCCTCGCAAAAATACCTCCCGCATTCGACGTCAGAGAAGTACCGAGCCCGGAGTGCCTCACAACTGCAGCCGAGCTGAGGGAGGGATCTGCGAGCTTTCGCCTAAGATTCAGAGAAAGTGGAGCTCATCGCTCGGGCCTTCAAATCCTGGCCGGCTATGTCGCCTTCATCTGCGTTCGGGTACGAGCGTACTTTACGGAACGCTTCCCCAGTGGGCGGCATTCTACGACATCTCAGAGACGCTACCGAATAGCCTGTTGGGTATTTTTTCTACCATATCATGATATCATGTGCCGGCGACTTGGAAAACGTGCGATCGCGACTCCCTAGAGCAGGGTTGGTCTGCCGGACACGTCTTCGCAAACCCTGTCTTAGGCATGAGTAAGACTCCAGAGAAGGTGGCCGAATCATGGCATTGATCTTAAATACGGGAGAAGTTCTGGCGAACTCCTTCGCGGACGGCTTATTCTTAGAGGTTTCTGGAAGAAAGCTAGAAATGGTATGCACCTCGACCCTCCTGTGGAAATTCTACTCATTCAAGATATCGCTACTCCTTTCTCGATGTCCCGCGAGATCTTATCACTTTCCCGCTGGACCGGGAGGGGGCGTCTCTTGGCTTGAATCCCATGTGATAAGGCACAGTCCCGGGAACCGGTTCGATATTCTAGTTTTGGGAACGCCCAGGTGCCTCTGCTTTCTGGATTCGACCGTACGGACCTATACCCATCCTGATTCTGATGATACTGGATGGAGTGTTTCATATGATGATTGATACAATTCCACTCGTCCATTATCGCACACGAATGAAATGGAAAGTACAATTTTTTTAGCTGATACAATCCTGTATCTGAGAATTCCGAATGCAATCGACCTGATTCAACTTCTATGTCGTGCACGATTCGGGACTTCAATCGAAGAATTCATCTGTGAAGAGCATTTGGATCAATGCGAACTCCACAATCCCATAGGTTTCCGCAGTGAAACTCGGGGAAACATGGGAACGCTCGGTGAGCTCGAATCAGAACCTCCGGCTTCGGGTATGAGTTGATCCTCAAGTCCTAAATGCGGCTTGGTTAGCAACTTGCGGCGGGAAGAAAACATGGAGAGGCGACTCCCTCGAAGCGGCGAACTCGCTTCCTTACACGAGCGTACATTTCATCGTCATCAATGACGCTAGCATGAAGTGTACGGGAAATTTTATTGATGACTGACCGAGTCGAATATCTAGTCTGTGTATTGAATCAATAAATCATAAGTCCATCAATACAAATAATAAGTCCATCAATACTATTGATATTGTTGAGCATTGGAGGAGACAGACCTCCGAGTCCCCCGAGGCCTGATTGGAGCTCGTCGATGTCCCTCGAGCTAGGATTATCCGCGAAGGCTTCCTCCTCTTGGCTTACAATTGGAGAGTGATAACAAAATGCGTGGCGCAGGACTAGTTTCGTCAACGGTTTGTGATCGATGCGATGTGACATGGTCCACTGACTCCTCAGAATGGAAATCTCCGCCCATTCGGAAGTGTTGCAAGTTGACTCAACTCGATTGAAAAGACTACCAAGTCCTCTACATTCCCGAATTTACCTCGTCTTGATGGTAATCATTCATCACGCTTCTAGGGAAGATACGATTTCGAAAACTGTACGATTGTCTTCCAAATACCACGCGCATGCGATCGACTACTGGTGTTGACGCGAGCGTCCATAGAGAAGCGGAGGTCCGCCGTGAAGTCGTCCCCCTTAGACTCGGCGACGAAAGCTGTCCGAGCACCCATATTGTAGTCGAAGGTGAGCTCCTTTATTTCCCACGTCGGTCCATCACCTTCTTTCAAGTCTTCTCGAACACGCCACAAGCAGTCCAGTGTGATTTGACCGACTCTCCGATACGCCTCTTCATAGCTTTCGAATCCAGACCGTTTGACGGTCGTTTCTTTTTGATTCGGAACGAAGGAATAACAGGTCGGGGGTTTCGTCAGATCTTCGAAAAAAGAACCTACCGAGTGGAAGAACCTAGGTACTTTACCTGACTTAGTCCCAAATCCCTCACTGTAAACTTCTTCCAGCGAAATTTTCGAGAAGTACGAGACAGTCGGGAACCTGAATATCACATCCGCGTCCTACCGGCCAAGTTCCCAGGACCAGTTGAGCTTCACCACGAGTTCGCTCCACTCCGGATCCGAGTCGACGTCAGATCTAATTCTCACTGTCTCCGCATCAAGGTTCGACATCCATGCTCTGAAGAAGCACTTTTTGGTGATTGCTCTGAACTGACTTCTTACAGCGCCGCCTGAAGCCGTCATCGAAAGCGGGTAGGTCTCCTCCTTACAGATGGATGCCGTACCCATCCTAAAATTTAAGGCGGGCTTGGCTCTCAGCCAAACTTGGGTGTTTCGTCGAAGGACGTAATTTTTAGGTAAATTAGGAGCGGCGTTACGAAATGAGTCGGTTTGAAGGTTTGAATCATACTGATGAAAAATGTGAGCCGCTCCGAGCCTAGAAACGTTCTACGGAAGGTCGTAATATCTTTTCCTGTGGATGATGCATTCCACGATTTTATTTTCTCGCGGATGCATCATATGTTTGGAGGTTACGCTCACTGCCGGGAGAGCTAGAGGAGCAGAGCTCAAAACTTTCATATTCGAATTTGAGCGAGTTGAAGATGGGCCCGTCACAAAAAAAGTATCAGTTCCGGGTGGTATCGAAGAAGGAGATTCACACATGGAGCAAAGGGAGCAGCAATGGGAAAGTGTTCTCCTGCCAAGTGGCTGACGCTTCCACGGACATTCAAATCGTTGCCTTCAATGATAACTGCTTGCAGTTTTCCGAAATTCTTCAGGAACACCAGGAGTGCGATATAGAGGGTTTCGCTTGCCGTCAAGCTAATCCGATTTTCAATACAACAAGCAGCAAGCTGGAAATCGTTCTAAACAAAGGCACGAAAATTCGAGCTTTGAACCGAGCCACGCCCCGGATTGCCGAGAAGTCTCCAAATTATGTGTCCTTTAGCGAGCTCCAATCGATGAAAGAGAACGATATAGTCGACGTTTGTGGTGTGATCATTCATGTTTCCCCGGTG